AAGGGATTTTCCAAGGGAAAATCGTCGAACTCACTTTTGTGATTGAATCATCAATTCAAGCCAAACATTAATCAAATAGGAACAATTTCACTCAAAGTATACCTAGACACAGGAGAACTATTGTTGTAAAAGTGTTGTACAGTCGATTACAAATTTAGATTGCAGAGAGTTTGTTCTGAGCGCTAAAGGCACTCACAATAGAGCACATTTTGCTTTATTCTAAGAAACTTTGACATGAAGCCAATTATCTCACTACTTTGTATGAGAACCCAATCGAGCTGTTGCATTGCATCAAGAAGTTCATGACTGTTAGTGATGCTGTGGACTACCCAATGTTTGTGGTGATCAACGCAATTATGAAAGCAATCAACACACGTCAAGTCAAGAACAAGACTGTTGCCAAATACAAGAGAAGAATCGAGGCCAACTTCAGTGAGATGTATGCACATACAGGTCATGATTTCCTCAACAAATTCACCAAGACAACAGAGGAATACATCTGTAGAGCAACCGATCCCAAAAAAAATCTTATCTCAATTCCACTTCAGAGCGTTTGATGGCAAGTACGATGCTGTTGAATTTGTACAAGCCTACTCATCAATCCTTGACTGAAGGATTCTTGAAGACCTACTCTTTGAATCACCTTCCAGAGAGTCAAAGGAATCAATTTGCTACAACTATGGAAACTTGTGGTATCGTCCTTGAGAGGAACGAAGCCATTGTGCTAGAAGCTGCCAGACGCAAACAGACACCTAACAAGGGCGGCGATACGAAAGGCAAAAACAGAGATAAAGGGAAGCCCGACAAAGAAGCACCCTCTGGTGCAGCCTTTGCCCAACATGGGGGCAAAGGAGGAGGAGCATCTGGTGTCACATGCTTTTGTTGTGGCAAGAAGGGACACACTTGTGATAAATGTGAACACAAGAACAACCCGCCAGAAAAGTGGTTTAATCCTAGCAAGTTCAAGAGATATTCCATGTTGCACGGGTGGGATGTCCAACTTGCAAATTGGAAAGGCACTGGTAAAAAGGCGCTGCATGAAACGATTAAGGTTTGTGGCGACACATGATACTTGGATGATACTGGAATTACAAACATTCGTAGTTTGTCATCGGCCATCAAGAAAGGATACAGAGTCCAATTTGACTCTGACAAAATGAATGCATTTGTTGTTACGTCTCCAAGAGGTCTCACTGAGATCTATTGCCATCATCCTAATGGATTGTATGTGCGTCCACTTATTAATTCACCTCCAGAATTCGATGATCTGAATCGTGATATCAATATCAGGGCAATTCTTATGCAATCTGGTAATGATGCAAATGGGCCCAACCATACTAATGATAATAATATTCTTTCCGGTTCCTCTGGACTACAAACGGTTGAGAAGAACATGGAAGGCTTCACTGACAGAGAAGTGAAAGCTGCAAATGCTGCAAGAGCCGGATACAACATAGCTGGCACACCTGACATTGTGAAATTTCAACATGCGGTGCAGACAGGTCTCCTTAAGAACTGTCCCATAATTGTGACGGACATAAAGAACGCTAACGCGATCTATGGTTGAACCAGCCTAGAAGAAGAGATAGGAATGGGTCACAACAAAAGTTATTACACTCTTTCCTTCTATGATCAGAACCAGTCGATTGATCATACACTAAAGTCACAAGACGTCCTTACATCCACTTGATCCTCCATTCAACTTCAGAGGTGATTCTTGACGCAATGGGCGATGCAAGTATATCGCCCATTAGACTTGACGGAACGGCACAAGCCGTCTGATGTTGATCCTCTCACGGATCGCATTTGTGCGCTGAATTTCCACTGTACCATTAGTGTAAACATTTGTAATAGGATACGGACCTCTGTATTTCGGATCCAACTTTCTTCCATCAGTATTCTTGATCAAAACTTCTCCACCAATTCTGTAATCAAACTCTTTTCGCTTCGCGTTCTGTCTCCTCAAGTTTTCATTGATCTTATACTGTCTCTTTTGCTGCATAGAAAGTAGATCAACAATCACAGGAATGTTTAGTAGCATGTCACGATGAAACACAGTCTCACCAGGAGTATTGTTCATCAAAGCTGTCGATACAGCACATCTCATTGCATGGTTACAAGCAGCAAGAGCTCGCTTGACTTCTTCAACAGCAACTTGAAAGTTTGGAGCGGCATTATTGTATCTGGTGCGCAAAATGTTTGCCACTGTCAAATGCATTCTTTCACAGATCGCATTTGCGGTCGCATTCTTGCTAGTGGTTCCGCCATCATGGATTCCCCAAGTGGCGAGTTTTGCTTGGAAGGCTTCGCCAATGAATTCACCCCCTTGATCGTGAATACATTTGTATGGTCTTGGATACCGCGACAACCACAGCATTTCAAACACGCTTGCTACATGTGTTGCAGTTTTATTCTCGATAAAAGCAAGTTCAGTGAGATTTGTCACGTGATCAATACAAGTCAACGCGTTGAATTCAAGTTCTCTACCGTTGACGTCAATTTTCCATGGACCAAATAATGAACCAGCCTAGAAGAAGAGATAGGAATGGGTCACAACAAAAGTTATTACAATGGTCCTGGGGTATCTGTGCGCAAAAGAAAGCAGACGCGCCCAACGCCGCTACGCGTTGTTGACAATCAAATCGAGATCCTGCGCTCAATCATCACACGGAACAGTGTCCAAATGTGCATCAATCTCGCGTTCATTTCGATCGGATTCCGCATGTGCATCCTGCTATGCGCGAGAACAAAAACTGCACTACATGGCGGCATTGATAAAGCGCTTTGCATATATAATCATGCTGGGATTGAATTTGCAACCATCTTTTGTGATGGCAATTTTGCAGCTGTTTTTGATCCTGTGAAGGACAATATGGACGTCCACATGAACTATTCTAATCCTGGTGAACATGAGCCCACAGCGGAAAGGAATAATCAGACAATCAAAAGTCTGTTTTGCACTGCGTTTCACCGCATGTTCTATAAGGCAATCCCCCTTGTGATCACTGAGCATCTCGCTCAACGCGTCAGAGAAACAGTACTTGGTACACCCAAAAGGGAGGAATTTCGAAAATCTACAGCCCTAATCAGATCATTCACAAGAAATCGGTGGATTTCTTGAAGGAGTGCGTAGCTGAAACTGGAGCTTACGTCCAAGGATTTGGACATGAGACTCACAATAATCAGCGATCTAGAACCATTGACGGGGTATATCTACGCCCAAGCACAAATATGCAACAAGGTCATTGGATTCTCGACTTGAATTCCAAAAAAACCCTTTGCCGACAGAGAGTCGAGGTTTTCCCAATCACAAAACAAGTGATCCAGAAGATTGAAGGTATGGCTGCCGCCAAAGGCGTCACATCTCTCAAATTCTATTATAAAAATGGTGAAGTCATCCTGGATGGTGATTTGCTTGAAGGAGTGGACCAAGACAATCTGTGGGATGAAGACTACACACCAAGTGAAACAGAACAAGAACGAGCCCGTGACAACAATCTGAGAACTACTGAAATCCCAGATGAAGAGCTACAAGATCTACAAGACGATTTTGATGAGCACTTTGGATCAAGTGACAGCAACAGTGATTCTTGAATCACTACCGAACTGGTCAATTGCAAGAAGAAACAACAAAACGAAAGCGGTGATGACAGTGAGGATGAAAGCGACTATGAAAACAAAGACAACGACTTTGATATAGAGATGTACGAGCAAGATCACGATACAAGTCGTGGCAATGATGAAATCGACGACCAACTTACCAAACTCATTGATGAACTTCAACAGATGAAGAATTCCAAAGATGAGATTCAAAGAGTTCTTGAGTCAGACAATGAAGACGAGAACAAGAGTGAAGGGGAGAGACAAGACTCCGATAAAGAGTCAATTCCATCAAGTCACGGCCATGATTCCGATGATGAAGACAATGACAAGGGTGGAGACGATACACCGACATTGCAAGCAACGCAGACAAGATCCCCTTAGAACCTCCGACAAGACAGTTACTGGTAAGACCAGATCTGGAAGAGGGTTCTATCAAGACGGTGTCAAATTGAGACCTACTCTAAGACACAACTATGACAAGGCCCAGTACCGACCTTATCTCAAGCGCACAAAGTCCAAGCCCAACTTGACTAAGAACCGAAAGATGATGAGACGCAAGAAGCGCATTAAAAAGGCGTGATTAAATCTACATCAGATCTTGCGCTGGTGGAAGGTACGACGCCCAAAAGCAAACCTTTGAAGTGGTAGCAATGGCAATAAGACTATCAGGGGACACGACTACAAGCTGGCACTACAACAGATTGGAACAGATCACAAGACAGAATATTCTGTCAACAAGGTGCAACACATTGTTCAATTCATGCAAGAGTTATGTAGCAAGGTCAAGACTCAAGGAGTGTCGTTTATTCAACAATACTACCTTAACAAAGGGCTAAAGCTATTCAAAGATTGCGGCAAAAAGGCTGCCATCAAAGAATTGGATCAGCTTGTCAAACAACAATGCTGGGATCCAGTCCATGTTGAAGAGTTGACCAAGAAGGAAAAGGAAAAGGCTGTTGGAGCAATGATACTCCTAGCCAAGAAGCACACTGGTGAAGTTAAGGGACGTTGTGTCTACAAAGGTAACAAAGCCCGGGACTGGTGGACTTGAGAACAGACATCGAGCTTAACTGCTTCCTTGGAAGCTGTTATCACCACGTGTGTAATTGATGCCTATGAGGAACGAGATGTCATGTCGGTTGACATCCTGAATGCCTTATTCAGACTGAGATGCCTGAAGTGAAGGATGGAGAAGAAAGAGTGGTCATGAAGATCACCGGTATCATTGTGGATTATCTCAACTAGATAGACCCAGGATACTGCAACTATGTTATGTACAAGAAAGGCAAGAGGGTACTCTATGTTGTAATCTTCAGGGCTGTCTATGGTATGCTGGTCGCATCTCTACTCTTCTACAAGAAATCCGTGCAGATCTCGAAGGAGTTGGATTCAATTTCAATCCTTATGACCCCTTCTTTCCATGTGGACGATTTGTTGTCAAGCCACACAATGCCAAAAGTCAATGGTTGAATGAGACCTATGGATCTTACAAGGAATGCACTTCCACTCGTGGAAAGGTGCATGTATACCTTGGGATGACACTAGATTTCTCGAAGGAAGGCAAGCTGAAGATTTGCATGGACGACTACAGAAAGCAAATTGGATGAGTTCCTGGTCAAGTTTGGTGAGAACGATAATCAAGAGACACCAGCAGGCAACGCGCTGCTGGATGCTGGAAATGGACAAAAGCTGGACACTGCAAGACAAGAGGTGTTCTGTTCTTTTGTAGCCATAGGACTTTTCCTATCTAAGACAGCCCGACTTGATATTCTACCTACAATATTGATCCTGGCGTCACAAGTGCATGAGCCAAATAAAAGCAATTGGAAGAAGATTGTCCGTCTTATGAGATACTTACACAGCACTCAAGGATGGCATCTTTCAATCAGTGCTGATTCACTGCGCATCATGAAGTGGTATGTCGACACATAGTTTGCGGTCCATCCAGACTTCAAGAGCCACACGGGAGGCTCCATGTCTATGGGGAAAGGTGCAGTTCAAGTTGCTTCCAAGAAACAGAAGCTGAATACATGCAGCAGTACTGAAGCCAAGCTTGTGGGTGTTGACGACGTCATCACTATGATCCTGTGGACCAAGCTGTTCATGGAAGCTCAGGGTAACCCAATTGACAAGAATATCCTCTCCCAGGATAATCAAAGCGCTATTCGTCCCCTCCAGTTAACAACTGATCTTCAGGAGCGCCATGCCACAATTCGTCCCCTCCAGTTAACAACTGATCTTTAGTGGCACATGCCACCTCCATGTTTTGCGGAAAAACAGGAGCGCTAGCGCTAAGTCCTCGAAGATCACCGGCTGCACACCACCTACCAATCTACTGTTTTGGTGTGCCTGGCCAGTGGCAACATGGGTGTGTACAAGGGTGCAGCTCATGTGATGTTCCAGCTGAACATCACACTTTTGGACGTCTCTCCTACTCTAATCTTCAGAGTTAGGAGCATGTTGAAATTGCTCTCTTGGAGACCAACTCCTTGATGGAAGCAGTTCGACACGTCTGATTGGACAGACGTACAAATGTCCGTTTGGTCCGTTTCTTTGGGGATTCCTATGAGTCGGTTTTTGCAGGGAATCCAAAAACATGGAATTGTGCGCTTGGACTATCAAACTGTCTGAGCACCATGAAAATCCCATACTGAATCCTGCGGGAGTTCTGTACATGGGTTTTGTACTGGCCTTTCTGGATTGCAAACATCCAGTAAGGGTTTGGGAAATTTGAGTTTTTACGCAAGGTTTTTGCTTTGCCCATTCCATGTAGATAACAAGTCTTTTAAAATAGTTATTTTTCTGTAGAGATGATTATTTCCTATTAGACAGATTGGAGATCGCTATGGTCAGTGCCTCTGCATGACAACTTGATGGGTCGCATTTTGGCACAGCTGGTTGGCAATGATGGCTTCATGGGCCACAAAGTTGTCAACCAGCCAGTTTGGACAACGACAAGCCTGTCGCTTGTCTGATGTCCACCATGTCCAAAAACCAACTCCAAGCCCCAGACCCAAGATGTATGATCTGTTGCAGCAGACCCCATAGTACAAGTTGACCCAATACAAAGCCGCCATTAACAAACTACTGCATGTCGCAGCATACAGTGACTGGCAGAGTAGCAGGAACGACAACTAAGACTGACCCTCCTGTTCTGACCATTGTACCTTGAAGCACCTAGTCAAACTTTGGACCTGGACGCAACTGTCAGACGCTTGAAGCAGCTTGTCAGCAACCTGGACATCAGAGAGAAGTCAATCCTCCAGCCCAATTTGCAATTGAAGGTTCAATGGCAATTTTTCTTTGGCTACCTTGTTTGATGCCAGCAGCCATTCATCAAGAAGAAGGAGGTGAAAACAGGCCAAGATGAGACGTTACAGCAGAGTCGCCTAAATAGAAGAAGAGGGGATGTAACATGACTGACTGGACTGCCGTGTTCCAAGCAGATGTATTAGAGCAATCAAAGGCCAACAGTCATTGCTGAATATTCAGCCAAAGATCAATCATCCATCATCTACTCACAGCTGCTTCAGACCCCCTAAAAACACCCCAATACCAATCACTGTCTATCATGTCCAACAGTAGTTACATCAATGCACTAGTACACTCTCTCTATGATGAGAGTCAGGAGCACAACAAAAGCGCGCTTTGGTTTGACTGTTCAACTTCTGTTTCTTTGAGATTATTTGTAATCCTGGTTTGATTGAACCATACTTTTCATTCATCCATTCACAAAAATCATCATTCACTTTTGGATCGATGTGGCTTGATAATAGATTGTCCACGTGAAATCAAATAGTATGTTGTTTGCCGTTCACAATCTTGTTGGTAATGCATCCATGGTATGGATTGAAAATAAAACCATGTTTTTCCATGTCTCCTCTCAACTTTTTGTACCAGAGCATTGAGGCCTCTAACATCCCATAGATGGCTTGCAATACTCTCACACAAATCACTTGTTTTCTGTTCTCAATTACAACAAAATCACCAAAACTTGGCTCCAGTTGTATCATCATATTGACCAATAATCCAGTGATCTTCATCATCACTCTCCATTTTGCATCTATCGGCATGTGAGTTTGAATAAATGCATTTGGAATATCCAAAGACATCATATCTCGTCCTTCTCATGCATCAATATCACATCAGATCATGATCGCATCCAAGGCTGCAGTTGGGCTTGAAATATCCTCTCAAGATAGCCATTCTTGAGTTCTATCTCCTTTGTAAACACACCAGTATTTGTCTCAGCCAATAACATCATAGCATCTTGAGCTCTTCTTTTTTCCAAATCAGTCATATCTTTCACATGAATTGGTTTCCAACATTCTGGTTGTACCAATTGACCAAGCTCTTTCACTACAGCTTTATCACCTTCTTCTTTGAATATTTTGAATCCCTTATTCAGGTGTATTGTCAGATTTTGAAGGATGAATATATTCCAATTTGAGGCTTCAGTAAAGGCTGGTAGGGTTTCTACGTTGGGGTATAATTTACAATGCTATTTTGCAATTCCTCTTCGTCAACTGTGTGGATTGGCCTCAGGAGTCCACTATACTATTCGGAAAAGGGTCAGTCTTACCAAGATACTCTTGGACTTACTGCCTTAGCTTGCCTTAGCTTGCCTTAGCTTACCTAAGCCCCGCCAAGTCTTGCCCAGTATTGCAGTTCCGTTTCAATACTGGATTTATTCGTGCATCCTTCACTTCAGTCAAAATGTAATCATCATAATATTTCTTTGAATCAATTTGTATTCTATCAAGTATTATCATTTCACACAAACAACACTAAGTCAGTACCTGAAGCAGATCAGAGTTGGACAGTCTTGTGATCCGCAATCTCAGGTAACCAGACCTGTCTATGCTACAGCTCTGAGTGGTTATTTTTGACCAATATGCATCTGTGGAGACATCCGCCAAGCTAAATCCAACCAACAAGCTCTCCAAGTCAACAGATTTTGAAGTACTTCCCTAGCTCCCCGAGCACCAAGAACTCCCCAAGTGTCAAGAGCTTTCCAAGCCAGATACGCTTTCCAAGCAAGTTGCACAAAAAGATAGATCCTGCTACGCCGGATAGAGATAGAGTTGCAGCAGAGTCCTCTGCTGGATCTACACCCCAGTCCCTCACCCTAGTCGATCTTCCAGACGACGTCTCCGAAGAGTTTTCAGTAGGTTCCAACTTCACTGAACCTAGCATAGGAGAACCTCGCAGTTCCGAGATGGCAACGCCAAGCAGAGCTGGAGCCGGTGGATCCAATCCACCAACACCTTTTCAAGTTCAACAGCCAACCATGGGCAAACTGATGCTCATTGACAGTGATGGAAAGCAGGTGGCTGTTGTTGGAGGAGGTGCCCCAAAGGATGACTGGTCCGCCCTAGACCCAGCTCGACTTGAGCCCTATTGTGCAGGCCAGATCTGTACCATCCTCTATGACGGCAAGCATCGAGCCTACCATGTGAAAGGACTTGAGACCAAGTTCAACCTCAAAGGAAACCTGCGAATGTTTCAGCGTGACGTCATTCAACATTTTGTGGCAAATGGACTTAACACAATCGCCTACGTACCTCATTGCCAAACTGGTATACCTGTGCATGTTGTCGAGGAGCATCCCTCCTTCACAATTGAGATTGTGAGAAAGCAAGTCTCTGCTCAGCTCCTCAAGTACGACAAGTATGACTCCGCCAACGAATCTGAAGCCAAGCTCTTTCTTAAGAATAGTTTGGAACCGTGTTTGCTTGAGAAGTTGACAATGCGAATCAAGACAACAGACTCATTCCTAGTTGTTTTCATTACCTTGATGTACTTGAACCGATCTCAATCAGTTCACCGTTTTGAAGCTATCAAGGAGAGCATCAGAAAGCGCAAGCCATTGAACTACGCTGGAGAGAACATTTTGTTGATGTCAGAAGATCACAAGATTGACGCCAAGGAATTGGTCAAAGCTGGTCAATACAACATATCCTCACAGGGTCCATGCTGGACGGTTATCTCAAGGCTGGTCCAAAGGATCACAACTTGTACCGTCACAACCTGTTGAGCGAGAGTCAGAAACTTGAGCGCGCATTGTTGGACATTGGATACATGGATAGAACTGCAGCAGACGCTCATATGGCCTCCGAGCGTCTTACCTACGAGGATGCCTCTGATCTTGCAGAGGACAACTACCGCAAGCTCAAGGACAAAGGTGAATGAACCCCAGCTCTCTCCACCGTCAGAGACTCCAAGCGTCCTCCTGCAGCTTTTGGCAATGCCGCTGTGTGTATGACAAAGGAACAGATGGAGACTCACATCAGTGCGCTTGTGCAACAGTAACTTGCTACCTCGAGCAGCCAAGCCAAACCTTCCGACAAGTGCAACAAGTGTGGAGGTTCTGGTCACTGGGCCCGTGATCCTGTGTGTCCTTTAGCTGGAAAGAAGGGCAACAATCGTGGTAAGAAGGCTGACAACAACAAGCCCAAGGGCAACAAGAAGGAGGACACAAACTGGAAGAAAGTTGCCCCTGGTCCTGGTGAGCCCCAACAGAAGGTTGTCAATGGAAAGACTTGGAAGTATTCTGCCCATTGCATTTGTTGGTCTACCACCCACGGCACGGATGGGCATACTGGTCCAAGAAGGAGTTGATGGGTGAGCCGCAAGCTAACTTGTTCATGTTTCCGCATGCTTGGCATGTACCTTCCATGGAAACGCCGTTGGCTCTTTGGAATGTCTTCCAATGCTTGATGCGCCGCGCCCTTCGGAACATTCCCTTGTTGATTATTGTGCCCTTCTTCAGTTTCAAACTTGGAGCCCAGTGGTCGGTTTTGAAACCTCTTCTAGCTCAGATCCCGCCAATGTTGTCTTTTGGATGGTCAGCTGTCTACACTGCTTTCATTGCGTCTTGGTTGAACATGTTTGCTCCGCTGCTGTGGGCTAGTCTGTTGGTATTCGGGACCTTACCCCATCACCTTCAGCACCAGCTCCTCGGATACCAGTCGCCACAGGAGTTCAAGCCTTTCCGA